ATATGTCAAATTATTATTGGGGTTTGTCTTACGAGCGACCCTACTGCAACTTGAAGCTGGCGGCTTCTCTACTTTAATCAGAATCACTGGTGTACAGATTCCCTCCACCTTCAAATGTCCAACCAGACCGAAAGCCCTTCCTTTCAGAAAGTCCGGCCGTCTCACCTGGCAACCTGCTGCTGGCTCTAGCACAAAGACCGGGAATTGAGTGCGTCGTGTCTTGGTAAACTGAATATATTCGCTATGCGGGCCCGAGAGCTGTAACAAGGCATAGTAGGGGGAAGAACAACGCGGCACACGTCGAGAAACCATCGCGCGAGGATGCATAGATTACCTAATTCTGATATCACAGACGCCCGAAGGCCTGACCGACTCAAGAATCTATCCTGGAATCGACCCGTAGAAACGTGGGGTGGTCAAAGTGCCCACACGAATCCAGGACGATTCCCTTCCACCGAATCGCTGCAGAATCGCTTGTCGAACCGTCCTCCGAAACGCCATCTTTGACTACCCCTAATATTATCTCGAGTAGAGTACCCACAATACACATGTAGCGATGGCCACAAGAGAGAGATATCGAGATCGATATGCGTCACCCGGGTAGAGACCTTACGCAAATACAACAATACAGTCTACCAATCTACCAACGGATACACGCCGCTCTCTGTCCGCTCCGATCCTCGCTCACGCGACCGTGTCCAACTCGCACAAGAACACCGCCGCCATCCACGCAAGCACGATCTCGACCCGCGGCCCGTGCAGCGGGATGTTGATGTTGAGCGGCTTCTTGCTCTTGCCGCCGCCACCCTTCCCGCCCTTCTCCGCCGCCGCCCGCTCCGCCTTCTCCCGCTGGCGTTGCACCACCGGCGCGAGCAGGATCCGTGCGGCGTCCAGCGCCTCGTACATTTCCTCAGGGCTGCGAGGTGGCTCGCCGTCCGCGGTCGGGCCTGGGGAGGGCAGAGGCTGGAGGTGTGGCCCTTTTGCTGCGCCGGAGCTTGAGCCTGCGCTGGAACCTGAGCCGGTCCCAGAGCTCGAACTCGAGCCGTTTACGCCGAGCAGGTGCGTCGAGCCTGATGACCCAGCCCTGGAGTGGCCGAGCTCCGGCGAAGGGGGCGTCGGGATCCGGTTGACCTCCTTCGCTTTCGGCGAGCGCGGGGAGCGTGGGGGCGCCTCGATGGCAAGCTGCTTCGAGTTCGCGCGACTGAGCGAGTGCGGCTGGACGCCGTTGCGCCACCCCCCAGCAAGGCGCTCGAGGATCTCGATGAATTCGGCCTGGGCCATTGAGCGGGGGGGTAGGAACACTGGGTAGCCTTCGAGCCCGTCGACGAGGGCGGCGGTACGCGAGAACGCGGGGAGGAGCCCGGGAAAGTCCCCGAGCATCAGGTAGCAGAGGAGGATGCTGAAGTGCGACTCGACGAGCAGCGGGTGGTACGTCGTGAACATGGGCGGAGTGTCCGGCACCGGCGGGGGCGCGCTCTGGCTGCCGGGGCGGAGGGACTCGGAGAGGAGGAACGCGTACTCTGTGCGCTGCGCGATGTCCGCGTCCGCGTACCCTGGCGGCCCCTCGAGCGTGTCGAAGTGCGCGAGGAACTGCTTGTGGTCGCGCATGCTCTTTTTGACGAGCGTGAGGATCGTCTCGCGGAACGCCGCGTCCGTGAAGACCGCGCGGTACGCCTGCAGCTTCGGCCCGTCCACTTTGCCAAGGGGTCCATCTGGGTTCCCGATCTCAGTCCCACCATACCGCGCGTTCTCGACGTAGCACAGGCGCATCTCCGCCCCGTCGACCGACGGTACCTTGCGGATGCCTTCCACCTTGAAGATGGCTTCCTCGATGAGGAAGGCGGCATGCTGGAGGTATGCCGCGGCGCGGAGGAAGAGACATTGGGGCTCGATAGGGTCGGGAGCATCTGGCAACACAGATGGATGGAGCAGGACGCCGTCGCCGTCGGATCCCTCGGTGCTCAGCCCGTCCGGCCCTCCTGCACTCGCGCTTGTTCCATTGGGAGGTGCCTGTCCGTTGGTCCTTCCCCCTCCAGCCTTGCCCTTCTTTTTCTTTGTACCTTTTCCTCGCTGTTTATCGCTCAAATTGCTGCCGAGATGCGCATTCCGGGCTTTGCGTTGCACTCGCGCTTCCTTGATTGCGTGCGTAAAGTCCTTCGCCGCAAGCGCGTACTCGTCCCGGAAGCAGTGGACGATACCTCGTGTACGATAGAATTCCAATCTATGCGAATTTGTTGCTATGAGCTCGTCAAGCACCTGGGTCGAAGTCGACTCAGCCAGTTGCCTATGTGCGATGATGTGTTAGGGTTGACAGCTGCTGTACACCTCTCGCCGACGAACCTGGAGGGTATCTTCTCGTGAAAGAAGTGCACGTATCGTGCATCAACGTCGTTAGGGTCTGCAATGCAACGGCGCGCACTCAGCCCGACTTGCCCCCATACTGTTTTCGTATACGGAACGCGGAAGAACGGCAACGCACCAACTTTCAGCACCCTCTCCGCGATGTCGTCAAACACGCTCCCTCCCTGCATAACCATCACGCTCGACGCGATCTCGTCCGTCCTGTATGCCGCCGCGAGCTTCTGCACCGCGAGCGCCCTCAGCCTGTGCACGCGCATAGCGCTCATCGCGACGTTCCTGCCTCCCCCGTCCCCGAGGGGGTTCATGCCCAGCCCCAAGCTCTGCGCCGTCGCCCACGCGTTCCCGTTCATCGTCCCCGCGCCGCGCATCGAGCCGAGCGCGGCCGCGGACAGCCCGGAGCTCGCACGCACCGAGAGCTCCGCGGCCTCGTCGATGAGCCGGCGGATGTGCGTGACGGAGCGGAAGACGCCTGGGTCGATGGGCGGGGGCGTCGCTTGGCCCGGTAAGGGAGCAGGGAAGGGATAGGGGGCAGGGAGGGCTGCGAAGGCGTTGCGCGGGGAGTCGGGCGGCGAGTAGTCTGCGAGGGACGCGAAGCCGCGGTCGCGCTGCTTGGGGTGCCCGTGCCCGTGTCCGAAACCGTGGTCATGGCCGTGGTTGTGGCGGTGACTATGGCCGTTCGTGTGGAGGTGGGGGTGTGCGCTGGGGTGGGAGGGAAGTGGGGGGAGCTTGGAGTCAGCCGCAGACAGCGTTGCGGGGTCGACGTTGAGCAGGAGGAGAGACTCGAGCAGCTCGAGCGGGAGTTGCAGCCAGGGCCCCTATGGGGTGACGAAGTGAAGAGCAATCAGAGGGGACCGCTCGTGTCAACCGCCAGGTTCTATGTTAGAGAGACGTACGTGGTAGGAGCTGATGTAACGCCAATGCTTGTTGCGGCTTATGCACAGGACCGGAGGACGGTCGCGCTCTGTGTCGTTCGCCGTCCCGTTCGCGGGCTCCTTGGCCTTCGCCCCGGTCTTCTTCGCCTTCTTCTTTTTCTTCTTCTTGCCAGCAGAGGGAGTCTCTGAGGTATCCGCGTCTACGAGATCGGCATCCGGGCCCAGGGCCGGGCAGGCAGGCGATGTCGATCGCGAGGTATGAGTCGACGGAGGGGTGGGGAGCATGTCGATGGCAGGGTCGTCCGTGCAGTCTGTGAGAGATACCATGGACGACGAGGACGCTGAGAGGGAAGACGGCGCCATGGTTGTGTGGTGGACGCCAGCGGAGAGGGGGAGGGAATGTGAGTGTGGAGACAGAGACTGGACTCAGGGCCGAAGGAGCGAAGGAGGTACGGTCCGGACGTATCTGAGACTGCAGTATGCGACTCTACCACTTACCCACGCCTCGGCGTCTCCCGGGACGAAAACTCTACTGCCTCCTTCGGGCAGCTCCTTACAAACATCGTCCCCAGCTGCAGAGCGATCTGCCGGGACAGAGAGGGGATTATACAGAAGCTCCTGTATAGGAATGGACCTGAGGAGTCTATGGACTTTATCCGGTAGTAAGTATTGCTTCGCACGAAACCAAGGCTCATCCGCAACCTAAGGATAACCACAAGGACATGGATACCATCATATATCGAACTGAAAGCAGCGATCAAGTTTAAATTTGCTTATAGGCTCCTGGTTCATTGCAACAAATACGTTCATTATTATGCTTTCTAGGGTGCTCTGGCTAAAATGCGACTTAAACGAGTAGATCGTCTTACATGCCCGTGCCCTGGAGAGCTGAACTTGAACAGGATGCCTTCATGACGACACCACATATCCGAGGCTCCACGGTTGTGAAAATTGATCATCCTGTTGTGGGAAAGAGAAGTACCTACACCATTGGTTGAGCCGTGTACTGACTGTTTGCTCAAAATGAATTGTTCGACTGTTGTCCTAGATTAGCAAGCCCATACAACCACCATTTTTACTTAGGGGCGACGAGGCACGGTCGACCGAAGAGCTCGCGCACTTCGGCCAGCATCTCCTAGGCCTGTGATGTGGCGGCAGTCTCGAATTGGGCTTAATCGATAGCCATTTGCGGCCAATGGGTGACGAAGTGACCTTGTGCTTCGGGGCGCTATTCGCAAGGTTGCACCGAGTAGCTCCAGGGGAGGGGAATAAGCAATGGCAACGGTTTGCTATGGCATTCGTTGTGTACAAGTTGAAAACAAGGAGCCTCAGCCTCGGCCTCATGCAATGTCACAGTTCACATTCACAGAAGCGGATGGCTTGCGCCGATGGGTCACGAGTGTCCAGAGTCCCGACACAAGACGTGAGCGGTATCATGATACTGGATGTATGATCAAGGCGCGCCGACTGACAAGGGTCACCCACGATGCATAGGTGATCGAGACATTGGGCAGGGCTACTGGATACCAAATTAGTTGCCAGTGCTTAGACACCGGCGGTTGTAGCCGCCGCCCATTTCGGTCGTAGGAAGCAAACGGAGCGGACCTGAAGGATGCACGAGAGCGTCATAATTGCTGAACGCCACATCCGCGAATGCATGCGTTTCTACTGTCTCTTAGCGGCGGTTGTAGTTCGAGTGTGCAGAGCGCGCCTGTAGCTTCGAATGATTGGAGAGTCGAAGTGTTTAACTAGAGGAGAGCGTTCCGTGAGGGCTGTCCGTGAGGTATCGGCGTGTACGTAAGGGGGTTTCTGTGCGCGAGGATTGGGAGTGACCATCACTCGCGGGAGGGACGAAGCTGAGTGAATAGGGTTTCGTTGTTAGAAGCAACGCGCGCTCTGGGCCTCTGTGTATCAGCACTAGATCCGAGACGCAATCCTCAAAGATGTAGTAGTGGAAACTGGCCCTCGTTGCGGGTTGACAGGACGAGAACGCGAGTTGGAGGCACAGTCCCGAGCGGATGACATAGTAGCGCGTTGTGAAGTCTGGGGCCTTGCTCCAAGAACGTTGTTAGCCAGCCTTGCAGAGACTTCTTATAATAAAGAAAAGTTGAATCAGACTTGCGACCATATCTCTTCCACTTGCTTGGATTCACCTGATGCGCTCGGATTCATGGAGAGGCAGAGTCTCGCATACTCGTAGGCCTTCGAGAAGACAGCGTTCACGGATGAATCGATGTTACTGGAGTCTTGCTCAGGGCCAGCTGTCGAACGTTTGACAGTCCACAGCGGGGCAAAGCATTGAAGTTCGAAGAGCGGTGCGGTGACCAAACGCGGGGGCGCTCTAGGGCAGGTTCTCACGCGTCGTGGACAGCGGCATTCGCCTTTGGGTACTCTACGCATCCTATCACTCGACTGTCGTCGCTCACGGACGCCTAATGGATCAGTCAGCCTCCCGCCAGCATCGCTCTATGTATCCTCTCACGATCTGCGGCCACCGTCATGGGACTGCGCGCCCCCCTGCGCTCGTCTACGTAAACGCTCAGACACATCGCGCTTCCCGACAGCTCTGCGGCTCAAGAAGGTGGCGTCGACGGTGCGCCTGACTACTCCCTGTGCTTCTTCGGCCCCGGCTATCCCGTCCACTGCGCCATGGCCATCAACCTGGCGCTATACGCTCGCTCCTATAAAGATCCAGAGCTGGGCGTGCGGCCTGTGTCCCGCGACGACCTCAGCTTCCTCCACCGTCTCCTTCGCTGGCTCCTCTTTGCCATGCTTGCGACCTTCCTAGGCGGCGTCCTGCTTATGGGGCGCGCCGCACGAGACCACTTGTCCCTCCTAACATCGTCATTCACAGCAGAGGTGTTTGCGACGCAGGAGACGTTTTCGGGGAATGTGTCGACATGTCCAGGTACGTTCCGCTGCTACTAGACAGGAGCTATACACGGTGGTCGGTACCAATAGAAAGAAATACCCCTCCCTTCCATGCTGTCACAGACCAGAAGGTCGGAGTAGAAGCTGGCGCACTAACACCACCCTCGTGCTTTAGGCTATACACTTTCCTCTCTGCACGAGACAAAAGCCGGTCTCACAGCGGCGCTCAGTCTGGCCGGGCCTGCATGCAACGCGTTTGGTCATGACATCGCCAACCTCACCTTGGAAGTCACTTACGACACTCAGACTCGGTACGCTTGCGCGTTCCTGTTCAGCACCGCCACATCGGACTCACCTGCTTAGACTGCACGTGAACATCTACGACACCGCAAAAGCGCAATTTACCATCCCCACATCGGCCGTTGAACTTGCTTCGGGCTCTGACGATCCTTCTCTGAAGCACTCCTCGGACCTGGTCTTCAACTACGAGTCTTCTCCCTTCGCCTTTTGGATCACCCGCCGCTCAGAGCCCGACGCGCAGCCTCTCTTCGATACGCGCATATCTTCTCTCCCTCCCACCCCCATTCCGCCCAACAATGCTTCTGATAGTAGCACTGGATTCGATGGTTTCCCGCTTGTTTTCGAGGACCAGTACCTGCAGCTGACGTCGGCTCTGCCTCTGGACGCGAATGTGTACGGCCTTGGCGAGGTCGTCGCTGCAAGCGGCTTCCGACGCGACGTCGGCACGGACGGGAGCCCGGGTACTATACAAACCATGTGGGCTCGTGACGCCGCTGACCCCGTGGACGAGAACATGTGAGCTGGAGGTGGCTATATGCGTGCAGAGCAACCCTCATGTGTCGTTCCTAGCTATGGCTCGCATCCTATCTACCTCGAGCATCGTTTCAACCAGACGACCAAGAAGTCCCAGTCACACGGCGTCTTCCTCTTCAAGTACGTATCGCTCCTTCCTTCCAATGTCGACAGGCGGTGTAACGGCCCGGATCCTCTCTAGTGCGGCCGGCTCAGACACGCTCCTCCAGACCCCGCCCGCCTCCCCCGTCTCGCTCATCCAGTACCGCGTCGTCGGCGGCGTGCTCGACCTCTACTTCCTCTCCGGCCCGGGCCCGCAGGCGGTCGTCGAGCAGTACGGCGCGCTCGTCGGGCTGCCGACGTGGCAGCCGCTGTGGGGCTTCGGCTTCCACCTGTGCCGGTGGGGCTACACGACGGTGAACGAGACGCGGGAGCAGGTGCGGCAGATGCGCGCGGCGGGCGTCCCGCTCGAGACGATGTGGAACGACATCGACCTGTACCACGCGTTCCGCGACTTCACGACGGACCCGGTGAGCTTCCCGATTGACGAGGTCAGGGCGTTCATCGAGGAGCTGGTGAGTCGCTGCGCTGACTTGGAGAGGGGTTAAGGGCGCGGGTGTCTGACGGAGCGGGGGCAGGGCGCGAACAACCAGCACTACATCCCGATCGTCGATGCTGCTATTGCGCACGCAGTGAACGACACCGACATCGTGCGTAGCCTTCGACTATGTGCCTGGATTCGTCGTGAAGCTTACAGACGTCACGTGTAGTACGATACTTTCACCCGGGGTACTGAGAAGTGAGGATCAACACACGCACCAGCTGTATGTGCGCGTTGACATGCGCTTTCTAGGGATATCTGGATCAAGAACCCCGACGGGTCGACGTATATCGGCCAGGTCTGGCCTGGGTACACCGTGAGCATGATGGCCACACTATCACTTCGCTTTGCGTCAATTTTTTTTTTCATGTGCGATGCTAGGTCTTCCCAGACTGGTTCGCAGAAAACACGGAAGCCGTGTGGACCGAGGCGTTCAAGAACTGGTCAGACTCCGGCGTCGCGTTCTCCGGTATCTGGCTCGACATGAACGAGGTCTCGTCGTTCTGCACTGGCTCTTGGTGAGCGCGTTCATGGATCTACGCGAGAACAATCGTTTTTGATGTCCCCGGTAGTGGAACGGGTGTAGACCTGTCTATTCCCCCAACACCGGTCCTTCTGCCGGGAACGCCTGGCGACCTCGTCACCGATTTCCCCGAAGGGTGAGTTGCAGGCTTTTGGAAGGACAAGAGCGTTGCAGCAGGCTAATCGCGCTGTCTAGGTACAACGCAACGGTCTGGGGACCCAGCGGAAACATGACCATTAACGGTACGTCGACGTTCGGCAACAATGGTAACACGGAGAACACCATCGTCAAGCGCGGTCTTGGTGCTGGCCAGGAGAAGCAAGTAAATTTCAACCATCCGCCGTACGCTATCCACAACGGTATGTTCCGACGCACATCGCCAGGTTGCATTGCACTAATTCGTGCTGTGCATCTTCCAGGTTTCGGCCTGAACGACCTTGACGAGAAGACGATCGCAACGAACGCAACGCACGCAAACGGGCTCGTCGAGATCGACACGCACAACCTCTGGGGTCTCATGGAGGAGAAAGCGACACACCTCGCGCTGCTCAGCATCCACCCAGGCAAGCGCCCGTTCATGATCTCGCGCTCGACGTTCGCGTCCGCGGGCAAGTGGACGGGCCACTGGCTGGGCGACAACTACTCGAAGTGGGCGTACCTGCGCTACAACATCCAGGGCGTGCTCCAGTTCCAGCTCTTCCAGATCCCGATGGTCGGCGCGGACACGTGCGGGTTCAACGACAACACGGACGAGGAGCTGTGCAATCGGTGGATGCAGCTGAGCGCGTTCGTGCCGTTCTACAGGAACCACAACGAGCTGGGCGCGATCTCGCAGGAGCCGTATAGGTGGGACAGCGTTGCGGAGGCTTCGAAGACGGCTATTGCTGTGAGGTACAGCATGCTGCCCTACTGGGTGCGTTGCCGCATCTTACCGTCCGGATTGATGACTGCTGACATAAGACGATCTACTATCACAGTACGCCCTCTTCGCGAACGCCTCCCTGCGGGGGACGCCCCCCGTCCGCGCCCTGTTCTTCGAGTTCCCAGACGAGCCCGAGCTCTTCGGCATCGACACGCAGTTCCTCATTGGCCGCGACATCCTCGTCACGCCCGTCCTCACGCCCAACGTCTCCTCCGTCGCCGGCGTCTTCCCTGGGCGCGGCAACACCGTCTGGCGGGACTGGTACACGCACGAGGCAGTGGACGTGCCGGCGACCCCAGGGGAGAACGTGACGCTCGACGCGCCGCTCGGGCACATCAACGTGCACGTCAGGGACGGCGCTGCAATTCTGCTCTATGCGCAGCCGGGCTACACCGTCACGGAGACTGCGGCGGGGCCGTACTCGCTGCTCGTCACCCTCGACAAGGGCGGGCACGCGTTCGGCACGGCGTACGTGGATGACGGGGAGAGCGTGCCCCCGACGCCGAACACGACGCTCACGTTCAGGGCTGGTGAGGGGCGGCTTGCGATCCATTCGTCTGGGAACTTCCATGTGGGGCAGACTATCGATACTGTGACGATTCTGGGTGTGGGGAGCAGCAAGCCGGGGGCGGTGAAGGCGAACTATAAGAGCTTGCAGGTGGCGGATTGGGAGTTCGACGAAGGGCTGGGGAGATTGGTGCTGAAAAACTTGGGATTGGACCTGAACGGGGATACGACGGTGACTTGGGCGTGAGCATGTAGAGTAGAGGTGGATACGGATTCGTGTGCCTTTTTCCAAAGGTCGGGAAAGTGGTTGAGTTGCACCAGCTTGCCTTGTTTGTCTACAATGGTTTCAGATGACGACCGACATCCGCCCTCGACCTCCAGGTGGTCAGGGAATCTTGTCACGGTTGTCCGCCACATTTCCAATTTTCTCATGGTCCGGTGCACATGTTCTTCCTCGAAACATTGGCTGGTCCAACACTAGTAGTGATGTTGCTGCCTGGCTAATCATGACTTGTTGCGCCGACGCTGAGGCAGTGCCGCTGGACGGCGAGATCTCATCGAACCAAGTACCGTCCCAGTGACGTCGCCGTAAGTGTGCTCTCACGCTAGCCACGACATGTTGCCTCCCTTCTGTCTATCCCATTACCTAGTCATCGCCCGCTGCTGCATCATTGACTACTCCAGTATGCCCGTCCTTTTCCCAGTACTAGAGGCTGGTATGGTCTCATAGCTAAAGTTGCTGTTCTCAGGGTTCGTTTGGTCTCCTGTCCAGAATCTCCCCACAGCTGATTGCGATAAGATTTTAACATGCATCATGGCCGAGATCTTCCATGGATGATTGGGCTGTCGAAGGAAGCGCAGACACAGCCTGATTGAGTGCAAAAAGCCAGCTCAATTGGCGAACTGCGCATGCTGCAGCTAGCTTGTGCAGGCTTTAACCCTCGTGTCTCGCCCCACCCACGGCATCCCCTACGAGCCCAAGCAGCTTTCTCTCGCCTACGACAACAATATTCTCCGGGCCACTATGTGCTGCACACTTCCGAAATGTGGACTCTCCACCCGTATCCAGATATTGGCTGTTCTGTCATTCGCAGTCATCGCCTTCATCGGTTGCTTTGGATGCTGCATCCTGCCAGACGTCCAATCCCCTCCGTCTGAGGGCTCAGTGATCACCGCCAGTAAGATTCAACACGAAGGTGGGGTGAGTGATAGATATGATACGGTTCTATTCGTTCCCTGCTCACGAGGTTTGGGATCGGAATAGATCATGCTCAACGGAGACGTGTATAACATGGACATTACCTCCCGCAGCATCCAGGTCCTTTGGCAGTACTGGGGTTGCAGGAATTTCATTGATCCTGAGGATGTATCGAACACAGTAGGGTTGAACTGGGAGTGCGGGATGCCCGACGTCCCTGTCGAATTTTTCATCGATGGAGCACCCGAGCCCAAAGGATCATACGATCCTTCGCTGGAAGGATATGATACTTCAAGCTCCGGAACTAGGTGCGTCTACCTCGCCACGGAGACCACCTCG